TTATATAGTTTTGGATTGATTTGACGATTATACCCTTGAATTTAACGGTTTTTTTGACAGAGGGACTATTTAAGAGTACATGTATTAACGTTAGGGACCATTAATGATACAAAAAAATATTAGGGATGCAATGTGATAATTTCGCAAACGTCAGGGATGTTTTGTGATAATAAGCCTAATGATAATGTTAAGAATTGAAAATATTAAATAAATGAGGATAATATTGTAAATTTATATTTTCTGGATTAAAAAATGTAAAATAAAAAAATAATCAGAATATGGGTCCTATTTTTATGCAACAATCCATTTTATCTTTCTTAATTCTATAATTGACATGTGTCCATGAGCATAACCATGGTTCCATCTTCACCACCCTTCTCAACACTTGACATGTGTCCATAAGCATAACTATGGTTCCACAAATATAGATATCAATGAGTTAACTGTAGTATGTCCATGGACACGTGTCAAATGTTAAGAATTGTGATGCATTTTTGGTTAAAGTAGTGAGCAGGTCAGGAGCAAGTCATGGCGGGAAAATCAAGGGTTAAGGAAGGGTTTCACACATTTGGCAGGCAGGCACACAACAACCTTCCATACCATGGAAGATTGATTCTATCTTGACTACGATAAAGATAAATATATAAAGTAATGGATGATTCATGATTGCCAATTGACGATACATAGGAAGCAAACCAATCCAGAATTCTTGGCAAGCAAATGTCAGTTTATCTTTTGAAGAGATGTTATTCAAACCATTGCAAAATGAATCTTAGAACATCTCCAACCCATATATAATATATTCAAATGTCAAGTAGAGTTCCAACGTTTAAAAATATAAAAAAGCAGCCTGTTTGAACACTAATTTTCATAAGACACACAGAAATCATGTTTGTCAGAGGAAAATATAGACCTTTAAATCTGAACAAAAAGCTAACAGGTAATTCACATTCTAAAGAACAAATAGCCAAAAAAATATTTCCGTCTCAAAAAAATAATTCCATCGACGGAAATATTTTCCTGTCACCGTTTTACATCAGTAACATTGAGATATTTATTAGCATGACTTATAAGGCCAAAGAATGAAAAGAAAGAAAAAAAAACCTCAACTGAACTCAGCTTATTATGAGGCCTATTTAGAGGTGGATTTGACAATGAAATTCTGGCGAGAGATAGGGTTGATGACAACAGGAGATGCTGCAGTGCGAGGCCAAGCCTGGAACTTCTTCTCAGTTTCTTCTTGCCATTCCTTCGAAATGGTCGACGGAGTATTGCCTGGTTATTTATCATCTAGGTTAAATTATTTTATTTTCACATAAACACAGTATCATCACGCAACTTTATCATCAGAACTCTACCTCCAAATAACTTTTTGTCAGAAACAACCTTGTCAAAAGCATATGAAAGCCCAAGGGTTCCCACGATAGCTCCGACGATGTAAATTCCTGACATTTTTCCGACTGCAATAACAATTATGAACATAATAAAACAATGTTATATATACCAAAAGGAAAACAACATTTTTAAACTCCTAATAAATAAATGGCAATGAAAGAATCTTGTAATACGAAATACATTGAGGAATAAATACAGAAAATCCGCAAAAACTAAAGGAAAAGAATTCATAGAGCAAATCATAAATTTAAATGAAACCCTAGATCCATTAGCAGATATATGCAGCGAGAAATGCAGAGCCTTACGTTGATCGATTGAGAATGAAAAACTCAGATGAATTTGGAGAACTCACAGCTAAATGAAAATGTGTGTGTGTGTGTGTGTGTGTGTGTGTGAGAGAGAGAGAGAGAGAGAGAGAGTCGAGAGAAGACGCTTCAACGTTGAGAGCGATGATTATGGTGTGTTAGTTGAGTAACTGTGGAGGCACATTTTATGCCGGAACATAGAATTGTGGGTCGTAGCCCAAGAAGAACGGGCTAGACTGATGCAAAGCTTTTTTAGCCCAGCTCATTCTTCAGGCCCATTTGTTTTTAAAGTTTTATATTAAAATTAGTTTTAGAGCATCTAGATGTCAAATATCAAATATTAAATTTGAATTTGATGACTTATGTCGTAATTGGACATATTCAACTCGATATGTCAAATTAAAATATTATTTTATTATATAGTAGTTATTTATTTATTACTTTTTAGGCACATTAATTAAAAATAAATAATAAAATAATAAAATAACATCATAAAGTCAAATAGCCAAAAATAACAACAGGAGAAATAACTTGCTCATGACATTATAAATCAATTAGGATACCACATTTATAGATCTTATAAATGCGGTCTCCGTAGCATTATCCACATCTTATATTCTAGGATTAGGGACAGCTCAATTTGGATAAACGCTAACTGAATCATGTGGACTTGGGCTAATTGATTTAAGTCAATATTAATTTAAATTTTATTTATCTAGATTATTATTTATACCATCTGATTCTAGCTCATTAGCTGTGACAGAAATTGGAGGCATATCATTGATGCAATAAGTGAAAAACCACAACAAACATTAAAAACTCAGGATTGCAACTCACCAACCCTCACAAATGGTATCCTCTACTATTGAAATTAGAAAATGGATCTTCAACTCTGCCGTACAATTCATATGGTTAGCAAAGAGGAAGAGCCCCTGCAGTTAATATGGTTAGAAAAGAGCAAGATTCCCAAGCTGAATCCAATGTAACGAATCTCAAAAGCTTTTCTATGTCTTGGAAGGTAGAGGGCAATGCAAGGGGAAAACTGCTTTGCTGTTCTGCCTCACCAGCAATGAGGAGTTTCCGATGTCTCGAAAGGGTGATCTTTTTGGAGCAACAGGCACTCTGTTGGTACATGTGGCTAGTTTTCTTTGCTTGCTACCACCTTCTTTGGGACAATGATTTTCCTTCAAGTGACAAATCAGGACGTGTTTTTCCATTTCGTTCTGTGGATCCCGGGGTATAAGTGGTGAACAATTGGCCTTCATTGCTCTTGTGATTGCTTCCTTCCTCAACCTATCAAGCTCTCCGTGGAGCATAGACACTTGTGCCTGCAACTCCTTTGCTTTGCTTTCAGATGAGACAGCTTTCTGTTTCCATTCTTGCACCTAAACAAGAAATATGACTTAGAATTATATAAACTAAGTTTCAGGCCTTCAAGCATCATGAAAAACCCTTCCAATCATTTGTCCTTATGAATGCCTCTCTTCCAAGACTCAATCTCACATCCATTGAAGCAAACAGAAAATCGAAACTAAAAAGAAAGATATCAGAATAGAATCACTTTCCAGGTCAATGTGTTCATACAGTGCCTGCCTAAAATTTGTAAGAGTACATTCCTTTTAAACATAGGGGAATCTGGTATGGAAACTTACAACGGATTGTAAGGATTGGATGTGGTAATCAGAATCTAGCGCTCGATCTTCCCAAAAGTCTCGAGAGGCATGCAATTCTTCCATCTCCTCCTTCACCTGCCCCAGCATCTCCTGCATCTGAGACCATTGCTCTGTCTCAACTCGTACTTGCTCTACAATTCTTCGAACTATCGCCTTGCAACGTCCTGAGCACACATTCTCTTCACGACACTCCTTCTCCTGCATAGAAAATTGTCTAACCTTTAAAAGGAATCCTGCTATGCTATAGATGTTTGTTTTTTCTTTTTTTGATAAATCAACAAAAAGTGTGAGCCGAGCATTTGAATATCCAACATAAATTGAGAGCATTTCACCTCAAACATATATAAGTCAAATTCTTTTCCCTTATGCTTTTTTAAATAAGTATAATTCGTTCTTTTAGACTCGGAACTAAAAACAACAAACAGTCGAAGCAAGGATTTGCCTTGTAAAATTGTTGTATCAAAGAAGAAGACAAATTGGTGGCTTCAATTTCAATTCTCTGGGAAGAAGAGGCAGAACTGGCGACAGAACTGTTGGCTGTAGACAGCATTGAACCATACTCTTCCTTCATCCTCTCTAATAGCATCCCATTTGACAATCCCTCCATTTTCCTTCTGAGAATGTCTACCTGCATAAGTTTTTAACAGAACCAGATTAGGCAAAACAAAAAAATTATGCAAATAAAACAATGCCTCACTTGGGTTTTGAGAATTTCTATCATTTGACAAATCTAAGACTGTAAGTCTGCAATCACTTTGTAAATATGGGAGTTGAGGAATTGCAGAACATAATTGTGTGTCAAAGCAAGATCAACCACACTAGTTTGAAGGAAAGACAGATAATCCTTACATTACTTTTGCCACTCGAAAGCAAGTTCTCATTTACTCTATAGCTTGTTTTGATCGAAAAGCTTGCTTCTGCCATCTCTTGGATCTCCTTGACACATATCTCATCCGATGTTCGTCTGAACTTCTGTACCTTTCTTTGAAGAAGATACGCTTGTTTATCAAAATTACTAGTGTTTCGAACCTCCGAATCCTTAACTCCTAAATACCTTCGCAACTTCTCTAGCTTTTCTACCAAGTTTTGAAGTTCTTCCTCCAATACCATACTTGCATTCTTTCCTTGGCAAATCTTCTCTCTCCCCTGAAAACCAATCACAACATTAAACATGTCACAGACGAACCATATAATGTAATACATTTGTGAAAAGAATTCAAAAAAAGAACGCAAAATTATGTTAAGCACATATTAATAGAAAAAACTACAAAATACCAAAACAAGATGACTAAAGGTTCAATGTGTTCATTGCTTTTATTTCCCTATAATTTCTTGTTAAGAAATGGATACAAAATCACCAAGTAATCCAAGAAATTGAAAAGAAGAACAACCAAAAGGATACTGATACTGTTGAAACGAAGAAGCTGTAATATTCAAACCCAATACCATACTTGCATTCTTTCCTTGGCAAATCTTCTCTCTCCCCTGAAAACCAATCACAACATTAAACATGTCACAGACGAACCATATAATGTAATACATTTGTGAAAAGAATTCAAAAAAAGAACGCAAAATTATGTTAAGCACATATTAATAGAAAAAACTACAAAATACCAAAACAAGATGACTAAAGGTTCAATGTGTTCATTGCTTTTCTTTCCCTATAATTTCTTGTTAAGAAATGGATACAAAATCACCAAGTAATCCAAGAAATTGAAAAGAAGAACAACCAAAAGCATACTGATACTGTTGAAACGAAGAAGCTGTAACATTCAAACTAACAACCAAAAGGATACTGATACTGTTGAAACGAAGAAGCTGTAATATTCAAACCAGATAAACTGCTTGTTTTCCACTCCTTTTTTACTTGATCAAACATAAGAAAGGATAAAATAGTCCTGCTTTTGAAACCTAATACATCTATCAATCCAAAAACTTGTGCCGGGCACAACTATTTGAATTTGAGGTTACTGGAGTTTCCAAATGAGTTTTTAAACTTCAATGAATTGAACTGGTGATTTAAAAAAGACACAAACTTGGCGTTTCTTTTTGCGTTTGAAAATGAAAGCAAGCTAGACGTTAAGGCTACTTGTTTGTATTAACATCCCTGAGAGAGAGAGAGAGAGAGAGAGAGAGAGAGAGAGAGAGAGAGAGAGAGAGAGAGAGAGAGAGAGAGAGAGAGAGAGAGAGAGAGAGAGAGAGAGAGAGAGAGAGAGAGAGAGAGAGAGAGAGAGAGAGAGAGAGAGAGAGAGAGAGAGAGAGAGAGAGAGAGAGAGAGAGAGAGAGAGAGAGAGAGAGAGAGAGAGAGAGAGAGAGAGAGAGAGAGAGAGAGAGAGAGAGAGAGAGAGAGAGAGAGAGAGAGAGAGAGAGAGAGAGAGAGAGAGAGAGAGAGAGAGAGAGAGAGAGAGAGAGAGAGAGAGAGAGAGAGAGAGAGAGAGAGAGAGAGAGAGAGAGAGAGAGAGAGAGAGAGAGAGAGAGAGAGAGAGAGAGAGAGAGAGAGAGAGAGAGAGAGCATCCCTGAGAGAGAGAGAGAGAGAGAGAGAGAGAGAGAGAGAGAGAGAGAAAGAGCGTGCAACCTCGTGAAGTGCAAGAAACAGGGATTTCAAATGAAAGCTGCTGTTGCAGTTCAGTTTGTTTGGACAAATTTATTTCCTCTTCCTTGTACTTGTCTTCATTTTTTATTTTTTATTTTTTCTTTATAGGAATTTGAAATGAACTTCATAGTCATATTTAATGTTTGTTCCTTATGTTATGTTATGACCTCTTCGTCCTTGCTTTGTCCTTCTTGTTTGTTATCTTCAATTTTTATACATAGAAGTGTTAAACACCATGTTTTAATCCACTGAATAAAAATTCAAATTAAATTGGCAGTACATGACCACTGAATAAAAATTCAAATTAAATTAGTAGTACATGACTTTATAAAAATTCAAACTGTTATAAGTGTTAAACAAGAAAGGAGAGAGATGTCTCGTTCTTTCTTTATACACATTTACGTACATAGTCTGACATATATATTGAATAGAGTTAACTTCTTTTGATCGAGCTTATTCATATCATTTGCTATTTCTCCCTAGCCATTTGAGCTAAAAATCATAGGTTTTAGCCTTTTTTTTTTTAATTAAACAACACACTAAGGTAATTTAAAATAGTATAACGGTCTTCAAAATAGGTATCTAGAGGTGCAAATCATGCTTGAAATTTGAAAATGGCCAAACCCACCATTATATTCATATTCATATATATTAGAGGTAGTGGAGAATCTGGCCCCATCCTCCTCGAGGTAAATGAGTTTAACCTAAGTTTGGAATAATTAAGTAAGGAATGCCTAGCAGACAAAAGGGTAAGTAGATTAGGAACAAACGTGTAAAAGCATCTAGTTCTAAATATAAATTTCAGGACAATATACTTGCGTTTTCTCATGCTCACCTCCAACAATATTGTTATATGAGGTTAACTATCGATTTACCCCCTAAACTTGTACGCTACTTTTCATTTGCACCCTCAAATTTTTTTTGGAAAATTAAGTACATGAACTAATTTTTATTGCCAATTCCCCCCTAGTGTCTAAATCTTAACATTTCATCCAATTTGCCATTAAATATGAGAGCAAATTAGTTATTTATATTTAAAAATATTTAAATACTATAATATGAATTTTAAAATGAAAAAAAAAAATCAATTTAAATAGAGAGAGAGAGAGAGAGAGAGAGAGAGAGGTAGTGCATGAGTCAATTCAAGGGAAAGATCATCGTTCTATTTAACCAAAAGAGACACGTGGAGAGCACGAAAGCATTATTATAAAATCTGTTTTTTTTTATTGAAAGAAATGCTACCTTTACAGAATGCCAAGTCATCCTAAAAGAACTTTTTTTTTTCCTTCTTTCTTTTTGTAGCTAGCTGTGTCTGCTGGCTAAGTTCATTCTAATGTTTCTTGTGCATCATCAACGATAAAATTACCAAAAAGGACTTGTGAAGTTATGGGC